ATGCTCGCGCGGAAGCAGTCGACGAAGCCGGCGGGGTCGTGACTCCCGGGGCAGCTCATCAGGTTCAGCCCGCTGCGAGCGTCCGTGATGCCGTAGCCAACGCCGAAGCCGTCGGCGACGACCGGCGCGAAGCCTCCGATCTCCACGGCGACGGCAGAGAGCGTCGACGTCGAGAGGATGTTGTGGTTGAGCGCGGCGAAGGCGGGGTCATCGTAGAGGTCGGCGCGCCTGCCGTGCGCCTCGGCGAGCCGCCGCATCGCGTACAGGTGCCGGTCGAAGCCGTGGCCTGCAACACAGACGGCGAGAGAGATGTGTGCGGGGACGTTCGATCGCTGTACGTACCGGGAGGCGTGAACGGAATAAAACGGGAGAGATGTGTGAAGGCGGCGGAATGCGCGCGGTCCGCCGACGACGTCGGGGAAAAAAACCCGGACGATTGTCCCGTTTTCCTAATTACTCGTGGAGATACGTGTGTATCGGAGAGGATATCCCGCATGCGGCTAGCTACAAATACGTAGCTGCCTGCAGATAAACACGAAAGTACTTGCAAGCAAAGACGATTTTATGTGATTTTACACGATAGATGTTTTTACGGTGAATCTCAACATTATATTTTGGGTTTTGTATAATGTATACACTCTGCGTACAATCCATAAACACTAAACTGTATGTATGTATAAATATCTATTATTGGTTATCGGTTGTTTGCGAATTTCAGTCAAAGAGCCAAATGAATATTTGGGTAATTGAATAAAATTTTATTAGCAATAGGGAACAAGCTTTGAATAACAATTAATATAAAAACGTTAGAATTATGAATTAAAATTCCAGTGGAAATGTTAATATTGGAATGAAGGCAGCCAAAGCCCTGTAAACCTAGATATATCCAAGTAATAATATAATTATTTAAAGCATCACAGAACACGTAAGACAAAAAACCAGATGTCAGTTCTAATTGTCATATACTATTACTAGTAATACCGCACATCAAACTTCACAGCACATTTATACTAGGATAAAAATCATATTCGCATATGAATCTCTCGTTAAAACATTTGACCACTGTATAATAAAACTGAATAGAAATATAATAGAATTGTATAACCCAGCGTGTAAAACACTCGGGAAGATTTCGTCTAATCTTTCACTAAAAACATTTTAACGTCGACATCTTTGCACGCCCACGCCACCGCTTTCGACCACCCGCCTCCACCTGCGACCGCGCGCTTCACGGGGGAACTCTCCCTCTCTCCTCTCTCACGCGTCCAGAACATCTCTCAGGTCGCTCACGGAGGCGACAACGTTCTCGAGGAAGTCTCCCCCGGCCGGGCCTCCCCGCCAGTCGGACGCGACCATCCAGCAGCGGCGGTTGCTGATGTTGTACGAGATGCCGTTGCCGTCGGCGACGACGGGCGCGAACGCAAACAGGTCGAACGTGTCGGAGCCGAGCGTTGATGTTGACAGTCTGTTGTGATTGATAGCGGCGTACGCCCGGTCGTCGAAAAGCTCCACCGCCGCCCCGTGGCGCCCCCGCGCGGCGGCCAGGCGACGCATCGCGAACAGGTGCCGGTCGAAGCCGTGGCCTGCGAATACGAACCGCGTGCGACACATGGCAGTGCGATCGAGCGCCGGCGCCACCTGGTGGGGAGAATGACTACTGGGGGTTTCGGGTTGTCCCCTGATGAGCTGCTGCGTGGTTGACGAGAGAAAACTCACCGAAAAAGAATGGGATTGGTACTAAAAAACAATGTGAAGCTAGTGAAGCTGCTTATTACACTTGCTGAAGTTCCCACACTGCTACTCATCCATGGCCAGCTCTCTGCCCCCTCCAGCTACACTCAACCATGGCTGCCCCCCCCCCTCTTCACCTTCCTGCCTCCCTCCTGCCGCACCCATGGCTGCCTCCCCCTTCCTCTCCCTCTCAAGCTGCACTCACCCATGGCTGCCCCCCCTTCTTCACCTTCCTGCCTCCCTCTTGCCGCACCCATGGCTGCGCTCCGCCCTTCCCACTCTCCCTCTCAAGCTGCACTCACCCATTAGGCTGCCTCCCCCCCTTCTCTCCTCTCTCAAGCTACACTCAACCCATGGCTGCCCCCCCCTTCTCTCCCTCTCAAGCTTTACAACTCACACCATGGCTGCCCCCCCTCCTCTCCCTCCTTCAGCTACACTCAACCATTGGCATGCCCCCCTCTCTTCACTTCTGCCTCCATCTTGCCACACCCCATTGCGCTTGCTCCCCTTCCTCTCCCGTTCTCAAGCTACACATCAAACCATGGCCTGCCCCCCTCTTCACCTTCCTGCTCCATTCCTGCCCAACCCATGGCTGCCTCCCCTTACCTCCCCTCTCCAGCCTCACTCACCATGGCTGCCCCACCTCTTCACCTTCCCTGCCCTCTCTCCCTTGCCGGCCACCATGCTGCTCCCCTTTCCTCTCCTCTCAAGCTCATCACCACCCACGGCTGCCCCCCCCCCCCTCTTCAAACTCCCTGGCCTCCATCCTTGCCGCACACCATGGCTGACCTCCCCCTTCTCTCCCTCGTCAAGCTACACTCAACCATGCGCTGCCCCCCCCCCCTCTTCACTTCCTGCTCCACTCCATCCCGCACCCATGGCTGCCCCCCTTCCTCTCCCTCTCAAGCTGCACATCACACCATCGGGCTGCCCCCCTTTCCCTTTCCCTCCTCAATCTACACGTCTACATCAGCTGCCCCCCTCTTCACCTTCCTGTCTCCCTCCTGGCGCACCCATGGCTGCTCTCCCCTTCCTCTCCCTCTCAGCCTCAACTCACCCATGGCCTGCCCCCCTTCCTCTCCTTCTCATAGCTACACTCTACCATAGCTGCCCCCCCCCCTCTTCACCTTCCTTGTCTCCCTCCTGCCGCACCCATGGCTTGCCCCATCCCCTTCCTCTCCCTCTCAAGCGCACTCACCCATGAGCTGCCTCCTTCAACCAGCTGATTGTTGCACCTTGGCAAGCACGTTGTCGATAGAGTCTCCCAGCTCGGCGCCCCGCCGACTGCAGACGATGTTCCTGCCAACGCTCGCACGCACTCCTTTCGGTTGCCATGGTAGCCGGACCTGACCGTCTCCGTGCGACCCTTGCGGAGGCGCAGGTGCCCTTACACGATCTCACTCTACCGTGGCAGTCGTAGACCGTCTGCCCCGGTTAAGTCACGCCATCTGGGCACAAACGCCAACGCTCACACCGTGGTAGGCGTACGCTAGAAGTAAGTAAACCCGCATAAAAGAACAGCTGGATTAAGAACACTCAGGCTTGATGAGCGTCAAAAAACAATATCTATACATAAGAACACATTCAGCCTGAAAAGATGGAAATTGTTTTTTATATTAAAAAAATTGGCCCTGCCCAGCTTAGCTAGAATACAAGTAACCCCTACAGAGGTACAGCTACAGTACTAAGAACATTTATTGCTAAGCTTGCCCATACTTAGAGCTTTCACAGCAGTGTACCATGGCGAATTTCCACAGGCTACACTTTACGCAACTGCTTTTAGACTTGGCTTAATTGATGTACAAACTAAATGACTTCTTACCCTTCTGTCAATCACGAGTATTAATTTTAGAAACAATTTTAAGAACACACTTAGAACAATTTTTCAGGCTGATTTTGGCAGAAAAACCCAATATATGAAGGAACAAAGTCAGCGTGAACCCCCAAAACACGCTTCTTTTATTGCAGGTTTTTACTGTATATCGACTTTTCCCACTAAGTGTGGATACTACCAGAAATGCCAAGAGTTCGCACGTATGTGCCCACGTATACGCACGTATGTGCAACGTATGCGCACGTACGCGCACGGTATACCACATATATACACACAGATATGCACACGTATATGCGACCGTTTCGTCACCCGTGATCCCTAACTGCCGCCAGAGTGTCAGCTGCCTAGCTGTGCTTGTGCGTTTTAGCAAAGTCTTTGAAATTATGGAGTACTGCGCTAGAGGCATTGACTATGAGACTCAACCTCAGCGAGGGAACTTGTCACTCGCGCTATATATGATTGTCACCTGTATTGCCAAAACTGCATCAGAAGAGTCGGGACTCAATAGCTTGTGCTTCTTCACGTTAAGCCCTTGTTGATGTTCGGAAACTCTAGACGGTGAATGGCGAGCGCTGTTCAACGAAGTTGTGGAACCTTCGCGCGCGCCCCGTCGACGTCCTGTTCAGAGCGTCGCCCTCAGAACACAGAAACTCTGCGAACGGCACAGCCGGAAAGGAAAACGATGCCAAGCGAAACAACTCGATTGCCGCTGAAATCGATCGACTTACTCTACTTTATAACCCTTTAGTCTATTACAGGGGGGGGGCATAATACATAATGCTGGCCATGGGTGATTTTAGCTATCCATGGAGGTGTTGGCTAGACAAGAGGCAGATGTTAGTTGTCATGGCTGTGTTATCTAGCATTGCGTGAAGTTAGCTAGCATGGATATTAGCTAGCATTGGGTGTCATTAGACTAAGCATGGATGGATAGCTTAGTATTGGTGATGCTTAGCTAGCATTAGAGGGCTGTTTAGCTAGCATGAGGTGCTAGCCGGGTGATGTTATGTAGGCCATCTAGGTGCTAGCTAGCATAGGTGCGTGTTTATCGAGCATGCGGCTGTTAGCTAGCATGATGGGTGTTGTTAGCTAGCCATGGGTGGTGTTAGCTAGGCATGGGTTTGTGTTAGCTAGCATGCAGTGTGTTAGTTAACTATGGTGTTGTAGCTAGCATGGATATTAGATAGCATGAATATTAGCTAGCAAGGAGGAAGTTAGCTAGCATTAGAGGTGTTAGCTAGCATGGATATTAGCTAGCATGGTCGCCAGGTGTTATCGAGCATGGGTGGTGTTAGCTAGCATGGGTAGGTATGTTAAATGCATGCGGGCGTTAGCGCCGCAACTTCGGCGTGACATCACCCCAGTCCCCGGCGCACTCACTACGCGCGACACGCGCTGGTAGGGTCGATCTTGCGCGGGCCGCGCGAGCCGCCGGAGACGCCCTCTTGGCAGTTCTGAAAACGTCCCCCGCGGGCCCGCTGCGTCGTGTCCTGCAAGCAGCTCATTGAAGCAATCGGGAGCACGCGCGACGCCGTCGCCCACGAGTGCCTCAAGTTCAGCCCCGCCTTGCCGTTCTTGCACCGATGAGCGCAGATAGCTCTTGCTCGCAACCACTGCGTAGACGGCAACGAGCGCTGACGAGTCGCAGAATCGAAGCCATGCGATGGAATGTTTAGTAGTTGAGAGTGAAAGGAGAGGCAGGTCTGAGCGTTAGCGGAGGAGAAAGTGTTGAACGGAGTTGGAGGGCAACAGCGTTGGGAATTGCGAGGGCGAGTGGGTTGGCGAGTTGAGTGTAGAGAGAGGCGAGTGTGGGAGGAGCAGAGCGTGAGGGTTGAGCGGCACGAGAGGTTGACAGCTTGTATAGCTGCAAACGAAGTTGGGAGTTGACGTGTGGAGGCGAGAGGAGTCTGAGGACAGTAATGAAAAGACTTTAGGAGCGGAAATAAAGAAATTGCAGTGCCATAACATTCATTCATTTACTAACGACTGGCTGTAAGCTGAAATGCTCACAAGCATGACCCGAAAAATGCGAGCTGAAAAAAACCAAATACGAGCTAGTCCGTGGAGCGGACGCGAGGGATACGTCGTTCTCTGCCGTCGCCGATCACCTGTCGCCGCGTCGCCGTGGATAAACGTCTTTCTTAACCATGTCACGGATCGTGTGACACTCTCATTGTCCAGACCACAAGCTAAAACACCGCCGTTCGTCAACCAACCTGCAAGCCAGCAAGAACATTCCGTTACCGTGCGAAACCATGCAAAACTATATCACAAATGGGCCACCAACGGCTGTACGTACAGACGCTGGTGCCGGACGGAGACAGAGCAAATGAGAATGATCACAAAAATAATGTACCAAACTGCATCGCTATCTATAAAATTAAATTAATTTTATGACAGTCTCTTGCTTCACAGCTCTTCGGCTGAGTAAATATGTTTCATTCAACTCTTTACATTATTCAATCTTATTTTACACAATAAAATGAAATTCGTCACACTTGTTTTAAGACACCGCCGGCGGTCCGCATATTCAATTTCGATGTGGGCCTGAACGTCGACTCTTTCCGGAAGTTTGCACTATAAGGGGCGCGCCCGTGAGCTAACGGCGGCACCTTCGCGGTTCTCACCGTGAGGGCTTCAGTGTGTTCCGCGACATCAGCCTTCTCCCGGCAGACGCCCACGTACTTCCTGTTTTCCGTCTGTCAGATCGCCAGGGGATGGGCGTGGGGCGTCGCGATGCCGCGGGACGGGTTGCGGTCTGCTAGAATGTGTGGCCAGGCACGGGTTGGCATCTCCGTCCGGTGTGCAGTATGTTACCTACCACACAGCAAGAGACAACATCGTGAATGCACCACAGGCGCGGACAGAAATGACAGCACCCACAGAATGAGCAGCTGAGGGTCCGATCGGGTCTATAGGCTATCAGCCGTACGGCTGGGACAAACAATCTCTTCTCAAAATAGTAGAGCTACGTTTTCTGTGACGATCTCTTTCAACACTACCAGTGACAGGTATCACTGGAGAGGTATTCATATTATTCTGGCTTATTCAGGCAGCAATTAGATAGTGTACTGGCCATATGACCTGCGATAGCTTAGGTATCAACTTCGCACATTATATTCGACATGATATGGTATAACATTACTGATATACATTATAATATTCAGCCCGTACGTCCACGCCGAGCGAATGCACATTTGACTCGCTTCTCGTTCGCCATACCTTTGTGCCATATACCGCACGGATGTCACACATGATAGAAATTCCATTCCTCGAGTGCACATGTACAGCCACCAGCCGTGGCGCTGGCTCTGTTCCATCACGTAATAGCTCATCCGTGTCTCCCGTAGCATGGAATGCGAGATGGAATATACAATAGGACTTGCAATTGACTTCATGTCCAAGTGGAATAGACTGGTGGATCGTGTAGGTTCGCCGGAGCAACAGCGGCGCCCGACGCCATATCGCAAGCACACCCTATCTTGAGCAAGGCAGCTGCAACTATAAAGTATGATCATCATCCGTATTGCGTTCTCACTTCTCCTTTTTAGCAAAGGCTAGAATTACTAATTGTACCGCATAGAATTACGGTTAATGCGACAAAATGACATAATATTTCGTGCACCCACTGCGAACGCTTGAACCGTCTTGGAAATTTGAAAACCTCTGAAAAGAAATTGCACTGCGCCTGCCTCCAGTATATCTATCTCCACATTGTGTCGCGCCGGGCATAACTTAAGCGTATAGGGCCCCTCGCAGAGTCGTTGAAAATCGCTTGGTCTGCAGAGATCTCGAATGGCAATACTGTGATCAGCCCGCCGCGCTTCGTCGTACTGGCCCTTCGCACGAGCATGCGAGGACAGTACGCTGTGCTCGCCATAACCAGGATCGGCCGCGTTGCTGCCATGTTTTGTCACAGAACTGAACTCACAGAAGGTTCACCGGACTTTCGACGTCTGTACGTCCGTCGCGACCCGCATGCCGAGTGACATGGTCTCGTGAACGCGCCAGACATTCACGACAACAGGTGAAGAGCCGCCAGTCCGCGCGATCTCGATTCGCTACCTCGTTAAAGCCTTCGACGGACCGAGAATACGGCGTCGGCAGTCAGTATGCGTTTGGTCAACAGTTTTCAAATATCACATGGGAATGCCGCCTAGCTTCCGAGATGACTCGGCGCACACCCACCTTCATGACCCGTTCGAGGCCTTCACGCTCGAGGAACTATGACCTGTTATCACGACCTCGTTGTGTCTCAACTCTTCTGTCGATCCTCCGACTTGTAGCACTCGATGGCAATAGACTTTCTACCGCCACTCTGTTGGGGCTTGGTCCGCCCTTGTTCAGTAGGTTATGAAGCGACTCTAGCTGTCGCGTCCTCAGTTTTTCTGCTCGGATTGGTTTCGAGGATTCCGGGCCGCTGAGACTGAAGCGTAGCGCCGACACACCATGTTGGTGCGCCCGCTGTTTATGCCACGTCGCAGCTTTACATAACACGCTGCAGCGCCATCAGATACTCGCTGTGTTCGGCCGTGTCCGAAGGGGTGCAACAGCGATGTGCCACGTGCCTGAAACGAGGAGACCTGGAGCCTTAATGTTGATTAGATCGATCCGCATCAGCTTCATCGACTAGGCAACAGTACCGCAATGTCCTGCACGCCCGGTGTCCAGCCGCACCTGCAGTCCACGTAGCTTAGTTGATATCTTCCAGCGAATTTTTGTATTATATTTCTTGTTGTTTGGCACCTAGGGGCTGTAATACTTAATGCTGATCCTCATAGATGTCAAACGCTTGCATCGCCCACTCTTCATAGATTACGGACAGCTCCGATATAATTTGTTTGATCACACTTCAGCCCACTCTGTCGGCCTCTCGGTCTATGATTAAATCGCTGGCTTCTTTAACTAGTGGCTAGCATTGCCCCTTGTCCAGGGCAACTTGCTACCCTGCTGGTCCCATCATGTGAGCACCAGATATGATTCCGGAATCGCTACTCGACTCCAAATCGACGTGATGATTAGTGACTAGTTATGACAATTACCGCAACATGCAGGTCAGAGCTCAGGGCCACTCGGCTTACGATGCGGGTACATGGGTCATTCTTCAATTGTAATTCTGGTATGTAAGTAAATTTCTCTGAGAACCAGTAGTCGCTGAGATGTAGCCTCGGCGAACGCTGGGCAAGCGTCGGTGGCTCTCTGTGTAGCCCCCAAAGCAAATTTATTTCGACGTGCTAGGGGGAGTGTTTCACGAAATGGCGTGCCAGTTAGGCCTGCCTCGGTTATATGTGAACCAAACTGTGCTGGGCGCAGTGAGCGTCGATCACATGTTGCCTCGTCCTTTTCATTTCAAACTGCTTGCACTGGATGGGCGGGGTGGCTCTTGATTGGACTACTCGTAATGGTCGATCGATGCACCGATGCCTCAATCGATGCTAAGTGGAAAAGCCGCTTCCCTGTGATTGAGTAAATATACAACTTAAACTCGGAAGCACACTGTGGGCCTGCTTTTGTCTGTCATCTCGCTGATATTTGTCTATCTGTCGTGGCAACATTGACTTGTCTAATGAGCTGGTAGCTTTTGCAACCCCGATTTGCCTCATCGATCGACTTGGAACGTACGATGTCATTATATCGTCGCGAACTATTTCTGATTGGCGTTGGCGGGTACGTGTTCGAGCCTGGTGGCGGCTCTGGCTGGTTAGAACACTATGCTTGCGTACTATTTTATCTCGTGGTTTATTGTTTTATATATAAGCCTCCCTACTATGCTAATACCATGACCTGTGGTGCCAGCTTCTTTCCCGGATCTATTAATGGATGATATTTGAATTTCTCTTTCCGATCTATCTATTACTAATAAAAAATACATATTCTCGTTCTTTTCTTTCTCCTCCCTCTTACTACCATATCTTGTGTACCTTTATTAACCTTTCCCTATGCCCTCCTTAAATGCCAACACAGTCCTTTGACACGTGTATCATAGCCACTTCAATGAAGCAAACATTCGTTCGCAAAAAGCACCTCGCATACTATATCTCTTATCGATATATTTGTCTGCCATAGCACATGCTGGCAGACACGTAATTGGCGTCAATCAAGATATTTTACTCATGCTCGCATTTATTGCAGTACTTAGTACGTGTAGTTCGCACCATGCAATGAATGCCATGAGCGTAAACCTTGGGCAGCAGACTGGGCATAAGCTGCTTAAATTGTTTTCTCACTTAGCTCATCTTGGGGTAACGTCAGGCAAAGGTATGTGTGAACAGAATATGTGCTACGCTGCGCACGGAATTCATATCATCGTGGCGGGCCAGATGGCTTGCTTGAAATGAGGAGAGAAGTTATGGAAGAATAACTGCCTACTGAGATCGAGCTTCTAGCCACATGGGTACTAA